AAAGACAAAATTTTGTCTTGGTCTACAAATTGAGTATATGAAAGATGAAATTTTTGTCCATCAATCAACATACACTAAAATGATTTTAAAGCGATTTTATATGGATAAAGCACATTCATTCCGACCTCATGAAAATAATGAAGAGCTTTTTGGTCCCGACGTACCATATCTTAGTGCAATTGGTGCACTAATGTATCTTTCTAACATTACAAGGTCTGACATAACTTTTTTCAGTTAATGTCTTAACAAAATATAGCTCTTCTCCTACAAGGAGACATTGGAATGGAATCAAACACATATTGCGGTATCTAAAAGGGACTACCGATATGGGATTATTTTATGGCAATGATTGCAGTCCTGATCTTATTGGTTATGCCGATGTTGGGTATTTATATGACCCACAAAAAGTTCGATCTCAAACAGGCTATGTGTTTACATATGGAGGCACTACCATATATTGGCGATTGACTAAGCAATCAATCGTGGCTACTTTATCTAATCATGCTGAGATAATTGTTATTCATGAAGCAAGTCGAGAATGTGTATGGTTGAGGTCTATAATATACCTTATTCGAGACAAATGTGGTATGAAGTGTGACAAACTACCAATAATTTTGTATGAAGATAATGCAACATGCATAGCCCAGTTGAAGAGAGGATTCATAAAAAGGGATATGACAAAGCACATTTCACCAAAGTTATTTTTCACACATGATCTTCAAAATAATGGTGATATAAATATGCAACATATCCGTTCAAGTGATAATATGACTGATTTGTTCACCAAATCTTTACCGACATCAACCTTCAATAAATTAGTGTACAAGATTGGGATGCGAAGACTCAAGGATGTGAATTGATACTCTCACCAGGGGGAGTTAATACGCGTTGTACTCTTTTTTCCTTATAAGGTTTTGTCCCACTGGGTTTTCTTTGCAAGGTTTTTAACGAGGCAACCAAAAGGCGTATTTCTAAACATGTGTACTCTTTTTCCTTCACTAGGATTTTTTTTTTCCTAATAAGGTTTTAACGAGGCACATTATCTATGGACATCCAAGGGAGAGTGTTATAAGAAAAATCAAATTATGGTTGATGTCTACTCTTCCTCCATGATCTTCTCAAATGCTTAATGACATAATGACATATTCAATGACATATTTCTATGCTTAATGACATATTCAATGACATATTTTTCATCACTTTTCATGCCTATATAAAGGCCTTGTAATAAATAGAAAAATACACACAATTGAAGAAGAAAACCTCTTCCTTCTCTTTATCTCCATTTCTTGTTTATGTTTTACTAAATTGCTTTTATTTCATAACAACATGTCTTGTTCATGTTTTACTAAGTTGCTTTTATTTCATAACATATTCCAATTTTGTTTAAAAAATGGAAAAGGCCAACAATACCCCTAACGTATTAAAAATGACTCAAAATACCATCGGTTAACCTTTTGGTCCGCATATGCCCCTAACGTTTGTTTTTGGGCTCAAACTTACCCCTATATCTAACCGAACTAACCTGGTCAATTTTTTGACTTTAATTTCGCCATGTGTTATTTTCTTAACCTGCCACGTGTATTATTTGTATTAAATAAAACCCACATGTATCTTTTAAAATACTTAACGACCCTGACCTGCTCCTATATATTTGGACGGTCAGCTAAAAATAATTATATTCGCTAGTTAAATATATATAAAAAAATACACATTGGTTATATATAAAAAATATGTATATTATACATTAATATTTTAATATATATTTTACATGACATTATTTTTAGGAGAAATTATACGGTATAATTTTTTCTATTAATTATGATTTATAACTCGAATTTATTAAGCAAAATCTGACAATGGAAAGACAGCTTTTGCTAATATTTTAGCTCTATCGTTATATATTAAAACACTATTAGTTCCCATTGAAAAGATAAAGTGAAGTCCATTAATGTGTTAAGCAGTTGGATATGTATAGAATTAATGATTTAAAAAAAATTCTTTCTATTTGTTTCTTTGCTTCTCCTTTAGAAGATCATATAAATAGAACATTATCATTTTTATGTTTGCAAATTTAAATTTATATTTGTTTAACTTGTTAAGATCTGCAAAATTTGACAGAAAAACTACACCGTATAACTTCTCCTAAAAATAATATCATGTAAAATATATATTAAAATATTAATGTATAATATACATATTTTTATATATAATCAATGTATATTTTTTTTTATATATTTAACTAGCAAATATAATTATTTTTAGACGGCCGTTCAAATATATAGGAGCGAGTCAGGGTCATTGGGTATTTTAAAAGATACATATGAGTTTTATTTAAAACATATAATACACGTGGCGGGTTAAGGAAAAGTGTCACATGGCTAAGTTAAAGTCAAAAAATTGACTAAGTTAGTTATGTTAGATATAGGAATAAGTTTGAGCCCAAAAATAAATATTAGAGGTATTTACGGACCAAAAAGTTAACGCCATTTTCAATATGTTAGCATATTGTTTTCCCTTTTCCGTTTAAAAAATTAGAGAAAAGCAATTCCAGAAATTAGAACAAGAAATTATTATGTTGTTATACATTTCGGTAGGACTTGAACAAACGGTCAGAACAGAGCGGTTGACGCCGTGAAAGGTGGTCGGAAGCATGGATTTTGCGGACTCCGCCACCACGTCAATGACGGCGATCAGGTCCCGCTCCTCCCCCTCCGATGACGTCGTATCTCCGGTACGTTTACGTGCATTTCCGTCACCGTTGACGATCATTTCTGTCTATATAAACCAATTTTATTTGTTTTTATGTCATATTATACAATGCTTGATCAGTTGATTCGACTGAAAAAGAAAATTGGATTTTGTTCCTTTATGTAATTTTTGAGCAATTAATTAAGATGTCGTCTTTTCTTTTGTTGTGTGTGTGTTTAATATAGGAGGTTGGAATTGTGTAGGAGGGATTCCTTTTTGCCTTTTTGTTTCCCTTTTTTTATTTTTTGAAAAGGTTTATTACACCACTTAGACTATTAACATTTATATCTAGTGACATTGTATTTTAGCCTCTTATAGCAGATTACTTACCATTTATTGTAGGTTATTAGTGAATGATTATTAAATATAGTCGCCTGCAATTTCTTTTTAAGTAATCAGTGCATAGAAATTAAACATTTTCTCTATAAGACTAATGTAATTTAACCTGTTATAACGGGTTACTTACCATTTATGGTAGGTTACTAGTGAATTTTTATTAAATACGGTCACCTGCTAAGTTTCGTGATTATTCTATACAATTAGTGCATAGAACAAAAACACTTCCTCTATAAGGCTAATGTAATATAACCCGTTGTAGCAGTATGCTTACCATTTATTGTAGGTTACTAGTGAATTTTTATTACATATACTGCAACTACCTTTTAAGTTACTCCACTTGATTATTCTATACAATCAGTGCATAGAACTTAAACACTTCCTCTATAAGGCTAATGTAATTTAATCCGTTATAGCAGGATGTTTACCATTTGTTGTAGGTTACTAGTCAGCTGCAATTACCTTTTTAAGTTACCTGATAATTTTACACAATCAGTGAATAGAACTTAAATACTTTCTTTATAAGGCTAATGTACTTTGACCTGTTATAGCAAGTTACTTACTACTTGTGATTTCTTTTCTAGTATATTCACCTGCAATGACCTTTTAAGTAACCTGGTTATTTTATACGATCAGTGCATAGAACTTAAACACTTTTTCAATAAGGTTGCGTCTGACTAGTTGCACATTCTTCTACTATTTCACTTTGTACTTGCATCCTCCTACTAGTACCTCAAACTCTGTCTGACTTAGGGTAATGGAAGGAGATCGCATAGCTTTTATGACTCTGCTGACACCACTTGTCTACTTTTATACTTGAGATGTGCTTTTGGAAAGCCCAACTTATTGATGGAAGCAGTGACAAAGTGAGCAATTTATATAAGGAGATAAACAAATATATTAAAATATCACATTTGGGATTTGGATTTGTGATCTAAAGCAACTTTTGAATCCTTTCTACCACTACACTAGAATTTTTCTTTATGTCAAGGGGATTCAACAATTTATATATAACCAATTTTTTTTTTTTACCTTTACCCTATTTACATATTACACAGTATAGTTTTTCAACGAATAGGGTTCAACTAGCTCCACCGCTGGTTGGAGGTAGAAACAACTTACCATATGAGCAAGTTTCACTCATTAACTCAGCAGCATTTAATGTCCTTTTGAAGTTCATTTAATTAATTTTCTACTTTTTTCTTCGAACTTGGAAATTTTAGACATGCTTGAATCAATTCAATTGAATATTTTAGTTGCTTTATGGTTTTCTATTGTAGGAGGAGCATAATGTGACATCTGTAAGTGAGGATCATGAGACGACGTGTTGGGGCTGTGGGCTCCGTGTACTTGTTTCACCGCATGTACCTGCTTTCAAGTGTTTCTGGTGTGGAGCTATAACCAACCAGAATGCAATTAAACATGAGAACCAGAACTTCAGGTGGAGACGATTGCGAGACCGGTGTTTCGTTAGCATCCTCATTGTCTTCATGCTAATTGTAATATGTAAGTGATCAAACATCCATCATCTCCCCTTCATTCCTCTACAGGAATATTTGATTCTTTCCACGACTAACTTCTAGTTCCGTATGGTTATTGCATTCTCTGCTTTTATCTTTTTATAACCCTTGCACCATTTATATGATTTTCATGTCAGAGTTTTAAATGGGGGAAGAAATCAATGTGTACGTATCTTTTTTGTGTGTTGTGTGTTTCATGTCTACCTCTGGTTTTGCCAATTTAAGCCATTCTGCTACTTTTTCTTGGTCCTACTCGATGAAAATGAAACACCATGGCTCTTAATTTCTTATTTAGATGTGTAAACAATTTGTGGCCATACTGCTAATTTACCTTTTTATCGTTTCTAGTCATTAGATGCAACAATTCCTTGCTAATTGCATCACAGAATGCAATAAATTCCACAATGTGGATTTTGGTTTCTCTTACTCTTTTCTGTATACGTATATTTTCTTGTATGTCATTGTGTTAATTGTAGGGGTATTTCTTTGCAGTTTTATATCAACTTGTTACTGGATATAAGACTTTATTATACGCAAGCTTTGATATGTTTGTTGGTATTTCAGGTGGCGGTATTTGGGCCATTTATCCAGTAGTATTTTCTGCTGGTTACATCTACGGTGGTGTTCACATTTTGATTGCTATAATATTGTCCATATCTACCCTGTCTACATTTAGCCTTTCTGCATTTCGATCTGCTGGTGCTCCACCAAACATACTGTGGGGTAGCTATCCGGCCGTGACAAAAGGAGCACTTGAGAATTATAGATATTGTGAATACTGTTCAAAGCCAAAGTCACCCAGGGCACATCATTGTCGTTCTTGTGGAATGTGCGTATTGGACATGGATCATCATTGTCCATTTGTAAGTTCTCGTTATTCTTTTATGCTTTGGATAAGATGTCTGTTTTCCAGAATGTCATGCTTATAAATTGTAGTTGAGAAATTTTAGAAGCTTTATAGACAAGGATAATCATGTGTCTGCGAGTTTAAGCCTAAAATTGAGCCTCTGAAGGTTTTCTTTATCTCACAAATTTTATATGGATTGCTGGATCCTATGTCGTAGAAATATTAGGTGGGTGATATCTATCTGCTTGATGACTTTTTTCGAAAGAAAAAAGAAATTTGCTTATGGATGGTATTGAGCAGTTGTATATATAGGCCATTTGCATGATTATGCTTTGTTGTTTCTTCACTTGTGAAGATCTTTGATTCCGATGGACCTTGTAAGATGGATGATCTTATTGTAGATCACCTGGTCAAATGAAAATGTTATATTTATACCTCAATATCAAATTTTAATTTTGACTTTTGAGATCTAGCACTTAAACACCCCCCCAAACAAAACCCACCCACCGACAACAACAACAATTAAGCCTCAGTCTCAAACAAGTTACGGTCGACATATTTATTGTGAGGATTCATCATGAATGCTAATTTTACATTGGCTGCTAGCATATCCCAACCCTCCTCTTTTATTCAGTCTTGGGACCAGCAAATATGAGCAAGCTCACATGGGCAGAAGCTTGAATATTTCCTGCTGAGGCTTCTCTTCCTTGGGTGAACATATATAAGCATTATCGATTCCATTCCAGTCTCCACCAAAAGCTGGCACCATAGCTTGTTTGCCACTTCTCATTGTAGTAATAGGTGATCCATGATTTCGTCCTCTTTCTCACACATAAAGCAACAAGCATATTGATCTCCTGTTTCTATGGATTCTATCCAGTGTTATCATGGCTTGATGAGCCGCAGTCCAGGCAGAAAAGAATTTTTAGGGCCCTTTGTCTTCCATCTAACTTTCTTTGGAAATAGAACCAACGTCCTGTTGTTTTTCAGGACGGGAAATGGTAACACATATACTGAAAAATTGCCTGATTTCTCTGGCTTCCCCTCTTTCATCTGGCTGCGCATTCATCTCTAAAGTCTGTGTACTTCCTGCACAGATTGACATGAACAATATGGCACAGTTATCATATTATATTCTCATGATAATAATTGCTTATTCTTTTATTGTACCAGATTGGAAACTGTGTTGGTGCAGCAAACCATCGGCACTTTGTCATGTTCCTCATTTCAGCAATCATTAGCATGGTTTACGCATCCATCATGTCTGCCTATGCAGCTTATCATGTTTGGCCACCACTAAACAGCTGGCAAGTCCGACTTCTGAATGGGGCTGTTGGTCAAAAGTTGCTTTTGAAAATGTTAAGAGAAATTTTTCTTGCATTTGGCAGTTCTATGTTGTTTCTACCAGCGAGAGGACTTGTTCTCGTGTACCTCTTTATTGCTAGTGTCTCTATCGAGATAGGTTTAAGCGTGCTTTTATGGCAGCAACTCTGTTTCATATATGAAGGCAAGACCTACTTGAGTCACATAAGTGCATCCGGAGGTGACAGTACTGCAGTAAAAGATTGCCAAAATTTCAGCCGATTCTTTGGCTGCCCTTATTATACTACAACGAGGTTGTTGCCGAGCTTCTTCAGTTCTAAGAAGAGACACAAAAAATGAAGCTTCAAAGAGGTGAATCAATTACTCCTTGTTTGCTCTCCATGCATCAACATAGAATATATAGGTCTCTTTATTGATTTTCTTAGAGCCATTAGTGTGCAGGAAGTTTTGAATTCTCCCAAATACTGATTTAGTTTATGGTATCTAGTTGGGAAGTTGTCCCACTTTTATAAGCTGAAATTTTTCTTAGATCATGTGCTTATCTAAGAAAATACTGCGTTGGCACACTGCCTTCAGATTGAAACATTTCCCCCTTGGGTCTTTTTTGGCAGTGTGCAACATAAGAATCAGATAACAGCTGTGTTTCATTTTTTTCAAAGAATGTCTTCTTTGGGTGAATTGGGAAGGATCTAATTTGTTTTCGAACCTGGGACCTCTCCACCTATCAATCTGTTAATTTATTTTTTCTTAATTCTTTATTTTTTAATCTTTTATTATGTAGGATGGTAATAGAAGTATACTCATTGTTTGCAAGTTTGTAATTTGTATACTGGTCTTGTAAAATTTTGCTGAAAGTTAAAGTGAAACTACAAACATGTCATATTTAGATGCTTCAAAACATGAACTTGAACTTGTGCTTATATAAACCTGCTCTAGGTAGAAATCGAAACAGACGCCTAGGGAAGGTTTTTTTTTTTTTTTTTT